ATCCTACACCTTGGGAAATATATCTACAAAATGTCAAAAACTAAATTATATTTAGCTTTCATTATTCTACATTCTCCTATGTCATTATTGTTATTAATAACTACAAGATGAATAAATATCTACATTATATTAGTATACTATCTGCCTCAATTTCTTAAATATGCACTGTTCAATATGGCAGCCACAGGCTATATGTGACCAATGAATATTTGAAATGAGACCAGCCCAAACTGAGATGTGCTGTACATGTAAAACACACACCAAATTTTAAACATAGTATGAAGGAATGCAAAATATCTCATTAAAAAAATGTTAATAGGTCACATGTTGATTTTTCATTTTGATTGCATGTTGTATTGATTACATATTGAATATACTGAGTTAAATCAAACATGATTACAATTAATTTGATGTGTTTCTTTTTTACTTATTATCAAATAATTATTAATTTGATGTGTTTCTTTTTTAATGTGGCTAACAGAAAATTTTGAATTACATATATGGCTCACATTATATTTCTATCAAGCAGTGCTGTCCTAGCAAATAATGGATCCATTCTTAAGAAGTACTTGGAGTCTTGTTAAAGGAAGCTGGAGCCTAATCCAACGTTATGAAGATTTATGACCTACTTTTTCCTCTATTAGGCACAGGGTCGCTGGTCTAATTCCTAGGTCCTTGATCCACTTTGAGTTGGGTTTTGTGCATGGTGAGAAATAGGTGCTTAGTTTCATTTTGCTGCATATGGATTTCCAGTTCTCCTAGCACCATTTGTTGAAGAGACTATCTTTGTCTAGTATGAGATAACTGTTATTTATGTGGGTTTGTCTCTGTGTCTTCTATTCTGTACCATTTGTCTACATATCTATTTTAGTGCCAATACCATGCCATTTTTGTTACTATAGCTTTGTAAGATAGTTTAAGTCCTGGTATTGTGATGCCTCCTGCTTCACTCTTCTTGCTAAGGATTGCTTTGGCCTTTGGCCCATTTGTTGATTGGGTTATTTGTTTTCTTATTGTTTAATTTTTTGAGTTCTTTGTATACTCTGGATATTAGGGCTCTATCTGAAGTGTGAGGAGTAAAAATTTGTTCCCATGATGTAGGCTCCCTATTTACCTCTTTTATTGTTTCTCTTGCTGAGAGAAAACTTTTCAGTTTAAGTAAGTCCCATTTGTTGATTTTTGTTATCAACTTTTGTGCTATGGGTGTCCTATTAAGGAATTTGGAGCCCGACCCTACAATATGTAGATCGGAGCCAACTTTTTCTTCTATCAGACGCAGAGAACAGACACTTCTCAGAGGAGGACATACAATCAATCAACAAGTACATGAAAAAATGCTCACCATCTCTAGCAGTCAGAGAAATGCAAATCAAAACCACCCTAAGATACCATCTCACTCCAGTAAGATTGGCAGCCATTATGAAGTCAAACAACAACAAGTGCTGGAGAGGATGTGGGGAAAAGGGTACTCTTGTACATTGCTGGTGGGACTGCAAACTGGTGCGGCCAATCTGGAAAACAGTATGGAGACTCCTGGGAAAGCTGGGAATGGAACCACCATTTGACCCAGCTATTGCCCTTCTTGGACTTTTCCCTGAAGACCTTAAAAGAGCGTACTACAGGGATACTGCTACATCGATGTTCATAGCAGCACAATTCACAATTGCTAGACTGTGGAACCAACCCAGATGCCCTTCAATAGATGAATGGATAAAAAAAATGTGGCATTTATACACCATGGAGTATTACGCAGCACTAAAAAATGACAAAATCATAGAATTTGCAGGGAAATGGATGGCACTAGAGCAGATTATGCTTAGTGAAGCTAGCCAATCCCTAAAAAACAAATACCAAATGTCTTCTTTGATATAATGAGAGCAACTAAGAACAGAGCAGGGAGGAAGAGCAGGAAGAAAAGATTAACATTAAACAGATACATGAGGTGGGATGGAAAGGGAGAGAAAAGGGAAATTGCATGGTAATGGAGGGAGACCCTCATTGTTATACAAAATTACATATAAGAGGTTGTGAGGGGAATGGGAAAATAAACAAGGAGAGATATGAATTACAGTGGATGGGGTAGAGAGAGAAGATGGGAGGGGAGGGAGGGGGGATGGTAGAGGATAGGAAAGGTAGCAGAATACAACAGTTACTAATAGGGCATTATGTAAAAATGTGGATGTGTAACCGATGTGATTCTGCAATCTGTATTTGGGGTAAAATTGGGAGTTCATAACCAACTTGAATCTAATGTATGAAATATGATATGTCAAGAGCTTTATAATGTTTTGAACAACCAATAAAAAAAATTAAAAAAAAAAAGGATTGCTTTGGCTATTCTTGGTCTCTTACTTTTCCAAATGAATTTTGCAATTGCTTTTCATATTTCTATAAATAATGACATTGGGATTTTAATTGAATCACATTGAATCTGTATTGCACTTTGGGTAGTATGGCAATTTTGACAATATTAATTTTGCCTATCCAAGAGCATGGGAGATCTTTCCATCTTCTGAGGTATTCTTCAATTTCTTTCTTCAGTGTTCTGTAGTTTTCATAGATATGTCTTTCCTAAAGCACAAGAAATAAAATCAAGAATTAATAAATGTGATTGACTCAAATTAAAAAGCTTGTCAGCAAAAGAAAAAAATCAAAGAGGTGAAGAGAGAGCCTACCTTATGGGAGCAAATTTTTGCCACACGCACATCAGATAGAGCACTAATCTCCAAGAACTCAAAAAACTTAACACCAAAAAAACAAACAACCCAATCAATAAATGGGCTAAGGAGCTGAACAGACACTTCTCAGAAGGAGATATACAATCAATCAACAAATATATGAAAAAATGTTCAACATCTCTAGTAATTAGAGAAATGCAAATCAAAACTCCTCTAAGATTTCATCTCACACCAGTCAGAATGGTAGTTATAAAGAATACAAACAACAAGAAATGTTGGCAAGGATGTAGGGGAAAAGGCACACTCATACATTGCTGGTTAGACTGCAAATTGGTGCAACCACTCTGGAAAGCAGTATGGAGATTCCTTAGAAAACATGGAATGGAACCACCATTTCACCCAGCTATCCCACTCCTCAGTCTATACCTAAAGGACTTAAAATCAGCATAATATAGTAATGCAGCTATATCAGCTCTTTTCACAATAGCTAAACTGTATAAGCAATCTAGATGCCCTTCAATATATGAATGGATAAAGAAACTGGTATATATACAGAATGGAATATTACTCAGCATCAAAAAAGAATAAGAATATGGCATTTGCATGTAAATGGATGGATTGAGAATATTATGCTAAGCGAAGTAAGCCAATCCCCAAAAAACAAAGGCCGAATGTTCTCTCTGATAAGTGGATACTGATGCATAATGGTGAGGAGGGGCATGGGAAAAATTGAGGAGCTTTGATTGGGCAAAGGGGAAAGAGAGGAGGGGAGAGGGTATCGGGGCAGGAAAGATGGTGGAATGAGATGGACTTTATTACCCTAGGTACATGTATGACTGCACATATGTTGTGATGCTACATCATATACAATCAGAGAAATGAAAAGTTGTGCTCCAATTGTGTACAATGACTCAAAATGTATTCTGGTGTCATATATATGTAATTAAAATTAATTTATTTATTTTAAAAACATAGGGTTAGATTTTATTAGAATTTTTTAGCTGTTGATGGACCTTATTCCTATTCATTTCTTTATATCTGGTGTATTGAACCCAGTGTCTCACACATGTGAGGCAAGCACTCTACCACCGAGCCACAACCCTAGACCTAGAGTTAGCTTTTATATCTAAGTCTATGATCCATTTTAAGTTAATTTTTGTGTATCATGTGGGGTAAGGGTCAACATTCATTTCTTACCTAGAGATATCCAGTTATTTCCATATCATTTGTTGAATAGATTATCCTTTCCACTATTGAATTGCCATGAAATGTTTAAATACAACTATTTACCATTAAAACAAACAAACAAACAAACAAAAAAGAAGTAATTGGAAATATCACCTCATTCAATGAAGTTTCTGGAGGCACAGGGCATGAGAAACAGTTGATTCCCTATGAGTTTACCATCTTCTCATTGTTATGAGTTGCCAGCATTTAGGCATAACAGGAAGGGCAATAAATATTCACATCAAATTATATGATCTTTTTAGACAAAAAGTTTCTGGGAAAGAATCACAACTGCAATAATGAGAGTAAACCTGCAGTTCCAGACAAATAGTCTAAATAAGACAATCAAAAGTCCCTAGATGAATCCAGAGTTTGCCTTAAGTGCTGCAAAGCCTGCCTGAACAAGCATGAGATCATTTGAATATGACATTCACTGTCTACAAAAATCACAAGCAATTGTGACACCTTATGTAGACAGTGTGGTCCAAGAGACGTCTGCTTCATAGAGCAGAAGAAGGGAAATCATGCCCTGGTTCAGTACTACAAGGAATACCATGGAAGGAGAAGGCATGGAATGGCAGGAGAGAGCTCTCTTTAACCTTCTACTCTGTGTGGCACCAAATGCCTCTGGAGTTTCTGGACCATGAGTGAACAGCACATAAAAATAACTTTGCTTTAGCCAACAAAGATCCTGTGGCCAAAAAGCCAGCTGCTTCTCAATTTAGGGTTACAGTTTATGTTTTGTACCAGACCACCTGAGTTCTAGGCACAGCCATTAAATAAGCTGTGGAGGTCTTGGCTATTTGCAGTGGATGTAGTTCATGCCAACTGCATGATGCATTGAAGGGAAAAAGAGAAGATGTTGCATTACAATACAAATCCATTTTACAGCATTTAATGTTTTGTTGGTTTCTATAAAAGCAGCACAGGGACCTAGAATTAGCAATAAATATTGATTTCCCAATACTGGAGGTTGGAAGGGAAGAATGTAACATTAACTGAAAAGGAAATATTACATTTTTACTCCAGCATGGATCTATTTTGATCAGAAAAAAAATAAAATAATGCACAAAGAAATTACAAGTATAAATTCAGTGTGTTTTAAATGTTCAGGTTTTACTAATTTTCAAAAAAAATATCAAGGCAACATCCTCCTTTTCTCATAATGAAGCAGGCAATAAAATTTGAGTAGAATTCAATTATCTCCCATAATTTAAAATTCAAACAAAAAAAGTGACTATTGAGCAATATATCTGGACCTCAAAATACTGAAAATAAAAGTTTTTTAAATATTTTTGAAAAAAAAATTCAGATGAAGTTTCTTTTAGTCCTATTCTAAAATTCTTGGGATTTCATGAAAAGGAGACAAAATTAAATTGCAAATACTAGAGTACATAGGACTGTCAATGTCACAGAGCATATATAGAGACATTAAGAAAGGAGAAACTATAGGAAATTCACTGGAAAGATTTTTTACAGTTGAGGCCAACAGTCAGTTTGCCTGTTGCCACTCTGGCTTTTCAGGGTTTGTCTGCTCAGGATGTTGACAGGAGTGGTAAATAGATTTCCTCATGGATCTGTGTTGAGAAGGACTCTGAGGTCCTGTCTGACTGAGCTCAGGGTCAACAGGAAGCAGTACTCCAGGAAGCATTGACTACTGGTGTCCGCCTGGAAGGGGACATGGCTATTCTCATGCCACATCTTTGCTTTTCCTATAATGGCAGGTGTAGCTGGGGGGAACACCTTTCCTGATGTTCTGCTCTGGTGCCATTTCATTCAAAAGAGACCATTTCACAAGTTATTGACTGCAGTCAGCGCACTGTTCTCAGTGTCGTGTCCATGAGTTCACTTCTCTTCACTCCTCCAATCATCTCGTCTTCACATGTGATACTGGTGCTTGCTCTTTATATCCTCCAGGGCCACATTAACCTCTTCTTTCTGACTCCACCACAAAATGTTCCTTCTCCAACATGTAAACATTTCTCCACTGTGCATAAATTATGGAATGGCAAGAATTCTACAGAAGCAAAGATCTGGAGACAATCAAAAAGTCCTTTACCACCAAAAGGAACATTGTAATGTTCTCTCCTCAAATTATTCAGAATTAATTTTTTAACATAATGAATGCCAACCTTACCCTTTAACTCACTGCCATCTGCCATGAGTCATCTCCCAGGCAGAAAGGTCACGATGCTGCATCACGAAGGCGCCAGGGGACAGGCTGGGTCCAGGCTTCCCTCGTCGGTGTCATTCACCTCTCCAGCAAAAACACCAGCCAGCATCAACTATTGCTGTCAATGTCAGACAGTCGAGTGCCATCAATTAGAGATGGCAAAAGCTCAACAACTTCTGAGCTTGGCTTGAAAAGAAAAGAGTCCAGATGCTTGTGCCCATTTGGCAAAAACTTACTAAAATTCATCTGAAGGAAAGCACATCTTTTCCAATTAGAATGATTTCTGCTAATGTAGACAGCAAAATAATAGGTTGAAAAATAGTCAGTTATCATCAATTCCATATGGTTTACATATCTTATAATGACCTTTGACACCTGCATTTGTATTTACTCAATTGGGAGTTTAATAATGATGTGAAAACCTGAGATTTGAACTTTGAGGAAATCAAACATTTTTTTTTTTTTTTGGAAATACTTCAAATTTTGATTTCCTTTTGAAAGGAAATGTACTTCTACATGACTTATATTTGTTCTCATTGCCTTTCAGTATCCATGTACTAAATACCTAGTTCAAGTTCTGCTATGGATAACCAATGAGACCCAAAGAGATAGACTTATGATAAGGGAAATGGGTAAGGGAAGCCAGACTTCATAGGTAACATATCAGAGGTTCACCCGGCTAGACTGGGAGGTTCAGACGGCTTCTTGGAGGAGATAGCATCTTGGCTAGGTTTTCAAAGAAACACAGAGAGAGCCAAACTGAAGTCCAAGGGTCCATGCAAGGAGGGAAAGAATTGGAAAAGACAAGATAAACTTCTAGGTCGTCCTGGTTCCAAGAAAAGTTTGGCATAAAAATGTTCCATTCACAGCATTCCTGTCTTGTTCCTGCTATTCTGATTCATTACAGTCCTGTCTTATCCAACATTAACTAGGGCCAGTGGTTGCAATGAAAAAAATAGCAATATTAAAATAACATCAGAGAATATTCATCACACTCACCATCTAATTGAGGAGGAAAAATGTCTTTAGCAGCATAGGTGTTGGCTATTAAGTCTAGGGACAAATGTCATATTAATTGACTAGATAAGTACGTGGGGAGTGTCATCTTGCTGCCAACATTTTTTCCAATTTCCTTCAAGTTTTACCTAATATCTGGTCACTCCCAATAGTATAAAACTATCTAAAAATCCATTTTCAGAAAGAAAAATTAAATATGGAAGGCATGAGTTCCAATCGTACAGTCACCTTGTCATGTGCAGATTGCCATTTGAGATTGTCCAAGTTGGCATCAGATTCTCTCAGCATGTGAAGCCAGCTCTCTTGCTAATTTAGCTGCAGGTCAGCCCTCACTCTGCTTCAGAACAGCACTCAGGGAATTGTCTTCTCTGGCTGGGAAAGAAGATTGGAATCTGAGAAAGGAAAACCAAGGGCACCCTCCACAGACAAGCTGCCAAACACTTAGATCTTTCATGTTGAATTACACTTGTCGCCCTGAGATGTGTGCCGCTGACATCTCTCGCCTGATCCACAGCCGTCAAGCCCGCCCCACTCAGAATCTACAGTGAGCCTTCAACTGCTGCAGGAAGAACATCAAATATTTTTTCCACATCTTATTATCAAAGCAAAAACTAAACCGTTACTGCCTCATTCAGATTTATAATCAGTTCAATGAATTACACTGCCATGAATTTTTTAGAAATGTAACCATCCCTGGAACTGAGATGATAAACTACTACCAAGCCTCCCTGGCCAGGACCACACATCTTTGCAGTTGGAGTCCAGGCCCTGGTCTGTGTCATTGTGCTGAAGACCATCCAGACCTTCCCTGCTCTGCTCTGTGTTTCCCTGCTCACACGGTTCATTTGGCAGCCTTTTCAGTCTTTGTGACCTTGATCAAGGAGTGGTCAGTTCTACTCAGTTAGACTGAGCTAAAATGCCATGTGCTAAGATGTACATGAACTAATCCTCTTACTTTGGTGAGAAGAGGGGAGTTAAGGGAATGCTGGACATGCTAGTGGGTGTTTCCCAGAAACATGTAAAAAGGAAAACCCTAACAGCTTCATTGACGCATAGCACATATATACAGGAAGAACACAAATCATATATACAGGGCGACAACCCCTATGGAACTAGCACCCAGAAAAAGAAACAGAATATTACTGTAGAAACACTGTCCTGACTTCTAATGCTATCTATCACTTTTACCTCAAATTAGGAAGGCTTTAAAAGTTCCCATCATTATGCTGGGACAACAAACATAAACCAGAACTCTCTGGCAAACCAAATGTATGCAATAAGAATCACTTTTTTTTCTCTACACTGATGCCGGTTCAAATAACTCTCATATCCTTCAGAGATGCTAAATATGCAACAATCTCCCTGCTACTCAAGGTCAATGTCAACCTGATTTTTTATGTGTTTTTTTTTTTTTCTCCCAGTACCATGCAAAACTGCCTTGGGCCTCCAGGTGCTCAATGAAGACACCAACAATCCTACTGGCCAACATTTGTGTTTGCAAATTCCGTGTCCCTCATTATTGGGCTGGGCAAAGAATACCCTACCTGGTTTGATAAGGGGTTCTCTGGAGAAAGCTTTTGCCTGAGGAGGATGTCCTACCAGCCGATAGCACACTCAAACCATCACAGGACCTGTGGCTTTCAGCTGGTCCCTTCTATTCTCTGTGCATGCCTCCCCCACCCTTCTGGTTCTTTAAAGGGATGGGACACGTGCCCGTGCACACATGTCTCCTTCCTTTTGCTTCCACTGGTCTATGTTAAAAGAAAAGGATTCCCTTCTATGTCCCACCTCCTCCATTCCTTGCACCCACCATTTGACCTGCAGGCAAATGAAGCCATTCAAATATTTGTTCATCATGTCATCTGTTCCCATCTGACCTTGCAATTCCTGTCATGCTCCACATGTCAGTTTAAAGCATAACGTCATTAATACCTCCAGTGCACTAATGGATGCTTCACACACGAACACATTAATGAAATGTGTTATTGTTTTCCCTCACAGGACATTAACAATCTACCTCACGCTGTGTCCCTGAAGCCCTGCAGAGCTGCTGAAAACCACTAGCTATCAAATGAACCCTCAGTTCCACCTCAGTAACTTTAAGTTCAAGTTTATCACTGAAGCGTCACTCATGTGAGAAGAAGATACAAGCCTCTGAGGGCTTTGGGGCCCAGCTTCAATTACCATAAAGAGTAAAGGGAGGCAATAGTGGCAGAAAGGGGGCAGGGAGAGGGAGCAAGGCATTGAAAGAAAACCCTGTCAAGATGAAATAGGGAAGATCTGGGTGTCACCTGGATGATTTGTTTCTTGCCTCTCCCCTTTGTCTATGGGCTGATGGTTTGAATAATGAAGACAGTATTGGTTTTCTTCTCCAGTCTGCCAGCGCAGGAGGTGTGCTTTTTCTGATGGCACAGCTGACATATTAAGAGGGATTAAAGTTTCTGTACACAGGCAATGTTTAAATTAGCTTCCTTAAGCCCAAAAGAAATCTTTCAAGCTGATTTGCAAAATGAACCCCAGCACGGCCTGTAGCCACCCTGCACAGGTTTCCTAAACAGAGCTCCGGTGCTCTATTTGGCCAGCTGTTTTGCAAAATCAGAAAAAAAAAAAAAAAAAGGAAAGGTAATTCCCTTTCAACATTGCCTCAGCCAGTATTTCTTCTGTAATTAAAATTGAAAGCTTTCCCCAACAGGTTCTCAGAGGCTCTCCGGGAGAAACAGATTTCTCTTTTCCTGTGTAATTAAGCACAAATTGTAAGGTGTTGGGCTTTACAGCAGAGGAGCAATGAATGGTCAAAGGTGTTCCATCCAAGGCTGGGGGAAGCCTTTGTGTTTGGTTAGCTGTTAGGAAATGCTAATTGCTTTTTCTCTTGCCATTAGGCACTAATCCCTGCTGTGACGGAAATTTTTCCCAGGCTGGGGCCTGAAAGGTGAAGAGAGATGTACAGCATAAACGCCACAAACAGAGTCACCTGTATCAGTGAATTGTAGCATGGCCAGGAAGACAATTGTCTGCCCAGTGTTTGTACCAACAGTGCACCTCACAATTCCTTTTATTCATGTCCTGGGGGCAGGCTTAAGAGTAGGTACAAAATGTGGTGTCTGAATGTTTCAAGTTACTAAGCCTGTACCCTAAATATAAGCTTCTAATCACAATTAAGCATCTAATCAAAACTCCTGGCTTGGGAACAAAAGTCAGGGCTTAACTCTTTCCTGGGCTGCTGACTACAAAAAGATCTTTGTGGAATGCCTGGAGGAGCTATTCTCTGAGGGGGACACATTCTCATAGGAGGACTTAGCATGTTCCTCCAAGTCTATGAAACAGCAAGGTGAGGCTACTTATTTTAAATTGATGTTTCCCTTCTCACAGATGCAACCAGGCCAAATGGAGCTGCAGCCACATCGCCCCTAAAAAAGCAAGCCTCCTTCCAGAAACAAATAGGTAGCTGGAACCTCAGGTGATCATTTTTCTTCCATTTTATTTTAGCCCAATGGCAAAGAGCTCCAAAGTGACCCTGTGATTCCTGCACCCTTGGTGTTCACAGACTGTGCAATCATCACCTCCCTTTGCATGTAGGCAGGATCTAGGGTGTGTGTGTGTGTGTGTGTGTGTGTGTGTGTGTGTGTGTGTGTGAGAGAGAGAGAGAGAGAGAGAGAGAGAGAGAGAGAGAGAGAGAGAGAGAGAGAGAGAGAGAGAGATGTGAAGGGGTTTTGCAAATGTTAAATAAGGTCCATATTTACCAAGATGGACCTAGGAGAATCAGGTGAAATGCTTCTAAGAAGGATTGGGCCCCGGGCAGATCAGAGATTCTCTTTGCTGACTTAGAATAAGCAGCAGTGTTGAGGAGGCCGGTGTGGCAAGGATCTGCAGGTGGCCTCTAAGATGAAGGGTAGCCTCCAACTGGCAGCCCACAAAAAGCTGGGGCCCTCAGCCACACAGCAACAAAGAAGCGAATCTGCCAAAACCTACATGAGCTCAAAAATGGGTTCTTCTCCAGCTCAGCCTCAAGATGATCATTGTATTGTCATGAGCAACTAAAAAAAAAAAAAAAAAAAAAAAAAGAATTAAAAAAAAATGTGGTCTAGTCCAAAGTTTTATAGGAGGCAGATGAGTGCTTAGCAGAAGACCTAATCCACCTGTGTTGAAGAATCATAAGCAATGGTGATGGATTACACAGGGATAGATAACTAATGCAATCCTTAAACATTTAGATCCTCCTTCTTTAAATTAATGGTGATTCAGTTATAGTGCAGTGGTAATCTTCAGTGATATCTCAATAATCAGCCCCTGATTCTCATCCATCAATGCATTACATATTGGGTCCATGGTGCACACTTTTTGAGACAACTGGTTGAGATACTCTGTCATATTTCATTTCTTCAGAGCCATGACTGTTTTGTCACTGAGGCAGTCCATATTTCAAAGAAAGACCTTGAAGGGAATAGGAAGCCACATCAGATATGGTCACACAAATATAAAAAGATGTATATTATTATTATTTTCAATCAAGTTAATCTTTCTAAAAAAAAAAAACAACACATGTGGAGATAGAGAACAATCATTTTATTCCTGTGTGTTTTAAGTACCTGTCTCCAGCATTCTCCAGGTCATAAACTTCCAGAAAATTTTCGAAGCTCTCAACAAATGGATTTTACAATTCAGATCTTTTTAGAAGTCAACTGCCATATAGCAGTAGGTATTTTTTGTTTGTGTTTTGTTTTATTTGGGTTGGGTTTGGTTTTTGTTTTTCCCCCAGGGAATTTGACAAAGTGAATCTAAAATATACATGGAAGAGCAGGCCAAGAAGGTTCAGGATACTTCAGAAGACTCTGAACACTAGAAATAAAGAACTGTTATAAATGGTATTAACTAAGACAATGTAATAGTGGCACAGTAATAAAAAAATCATAAGCCAACAGAATAAAAACAGATATCCAGCTCAGGATATATTGACACATGCTACATGGAATATATGACATTACAAGTCAGAGAGAAAAAAACGTCATATCATAAAAGGTGCCCCACTGTAACTTCCAGATATTTTTTTTCTGGGAAAGGGGAGCAGGTAAATAACTCATATAAAAATTTCTTTAACTAAAAAGCAAAGCAAAAAAAAAGGATGAATAAAAAATATAAACCAGTATCTCTAAATTAAAATACAATAAATAGTTATATGAATGTGTTAGATTTCCATCACTGTGACAAAATACCTGAGATCATCAACTGCCTAACAGTTGGAGAGTTTTCAGTCTATGGTCAGCTGCCCATGCTCATTTGGGCCTATGGCATGCAGTATATCATGGTGGGGAGCACACGTGAAATAAAAATTGTCTATCTCATGGCAACAGGGAAACAGAGAGAAAGGGGAGGGG